AGTAGGCAGTGCTCAGCACAGAGTGGGTGGGGCTCAGCTCATAGGGGGCGGAACTTGGTTCAGAAGGGGCGGGGCTCAGCACAGAGGAGGTGGGGCAAGGTCCAGAGGGGTGGGGCTCAGCGCAGAGGGGCGGGGCTGGCAGCCTGGATGATAGACAGTTTCAGGCAGGTCCCATCCACCGGCTTCCCCTTTATGAACTCGGGGCGAATCTCCCCTCCACACCCCACATCCTTCTCCCACTGAATTATTTTTGCGAGAGACCCCCAGATATCATATTACTCTTCCTACAAATATTTGAATATGTAGGTTTTTAAAAAAAATAATTTTTAGCCCTAGCTGGTTTGGCTCAGTGGATAGAGTGTCTTCAGCCTGTGGTCTGAAGGGTCCCGGGTTCGATTCCGGCCAGGGGCGCATGCCCGGGTTGCGGGCTCCATCCCCAGTAGGGGGCGTTCGGGAGGCAGCCCATCAATGATTCCCTCTCATCATTGATGTTTCCATCTCTCTCTCCCTTCCTCTTCCTCCCTGAAACCAATAAAAATATACATATCGGTGTCAATTAAAAAAATAAAGGAACCATGAGTAACAACCTGCAGAAGCTATTAAGAAGTACCAAGGAAGTGACATCCAGTTACAGTGGTGTGAAGAGGTCACTGATTGCTTGCCACACAAAAAACCAATTATTAAACTGTACATAATTTTAAAAACAATCATTTCAGGGCTGTGGAGTGATGCAGAAAACAAATTTAAAACATCATTCTTGAAATTAAAGTATAGCTTCAGATAAGAATAGCAGAAGACTGTGGCCTTTGCCTGAGGCTGATCACATCTGCATTACCCTCAGTTTTGTTGGCAAGAACAGTAATCTCTTTGTTTTTAAATTGTGGTAAAATACACATAACATAATATTTAGTAGGGGGTGTGCAGGAGGCAGCTGATCAATGATTTTCTCTCATCATTGATGTTTCCATCTCTCTCTTCCTCTCCCTCTCTGAAATCAATAAAAATATATTAAAGATTATTTTTATTTTTAATTTATTTTTATATATATTTTTAATCCTCCCTCGAGAATATTTTTCCATTGATTTTTAGGGAGAGTGGAAGAGAGAGGGAACGACAGAGAGAAACATGGATGGGAGAGAAACCCATCGATTGGTTGCCTCCTGCACGAGCCCCGACCAGGGCCCTGGTCCAGAGAGGAGTCTGCAACCAAGGTTGACCGGAATCGAACCCGCGACCCTTCGGTCCGCAGGCCGACGCTCTATCCACTGAGCCAAACCGGCCAGGGCTGGAAACCTTGATTATTGACAATTTATGCACGCCCCAAAGTAGAGAGAATATAGGGGAGCCCCCTGTGCCTCCCCATCCCCCGGCTTCCCCATTATGAACTCAGGGCGAGTCTCTCATCCACACCCCTGCATATGCTTTCCCTCTCCCACTGGGTTAGTTTGTGAGCAACCCCAGAGGTCACATGACTTTACCCACAAATATTTGAATACGTATGAAGTGAGAGTGTTTTGGGTTAGGTAAGCAGGGCTGCTATTGAGCTAGCTCTTTAAATATTAAAATTATTTCCCTACTAAATAATAAAAGAAATACCGCCACCTCAGGCTTGGGACAAACTCCCTCCCTTCTCCCAGGCCAAAGGGCTCAGGATTGAAGGGTTTAATGTCCAGGCTCCAGGGGGAGGTGGGGCCCAAGGATTCCACAGTCTCAGTTGAAAGTGGTAACTGGGTCATACTGGCTGTTACATGTTCTGCTACCGCCCCCTAGAGGCCAGTGTTTTTAATGGCAGGGTTTTGACAGTCTTGTCCATAGGGAGGTGTTGATAGTTTAAATGGGCTGCCTTTTATCACCCAGGTTTATCCCGGAGTCTGAGGCCCTCCAACCCCATCCCAGAGAGGGAGGAGTGCAAACAGATGAGGTTCCTTTGTTGCCCTGTCATTAATCATAAAAAAAAAAGTCAGCCGTAACCGGTTTGGCTCAGTGGATAGAGGTCGGCCTGTGGACTGAAAGGTCCCGGGTTCGATTTCGGTCAAGGGCATGTACCTTGGTTGCGGGCACATCTCCAGTAGGGGGTGTGCAGGAGGCAGCTGATGGATGTTTCTCTCTCATCGATGTTTCTAACTCTCTTTTTGGGGTGGGGGGTGTCTATAAATACCTACAAATATTTCTTGTTCTCGTAGACATCGTGCAGCTTGAGGACGTGTAAAAATCAATAAAATATATTATTTTAAAAAAAGTCAGATGTTGGCAAGGATGTAGAGAGACTGGAACCCTCGGAGGCTGCTGGCGAGGATGTGGGATGGTGCAGCTGCTTGGAAGACGGTCTGGCACCTCCTCAAAGGCTAAACAGTTACCATATAACCCAACAATGCCACTCCTAGGCAATGCACCCAAGAGAGCTGAAAACAGGCACACGTCGAAACCTGGACACACAAACATCCATGTTATTCATCGCAGCCCCAAAGGAGAACAACAACATGTCCCTCCACGGTGGTGGGTAAACAAAGATGGCAACACCACACAGTGGAATATTACTCAGCCATGAAAAAGAATGGCGCCGGCTACAACATCTAGGACACTTGAACATGTTTTGCTCAGTGAAAGGAGCCAGTCTCTAAAGACAAACCTACAGTAGGATTCTATTTCTTTTCTTTTTCATCCTCATCTGAGGATATTTTTTCTATTGATTTTTAGAGAGAGTGGAAGGGAGAGGGAGAGGCAGAGAGAAACACTGATGTGAGAGAGACACATCCATTGATTGCCTCCCTCATGCCCCCAACCAGGGAGGGGAGCCTTCAACCCAGGTATGGCCGGCTACAACATCTAGGACACTTGAACATGTTTTGCTCAGTGAAAGGAGCCAGTCTCTAAAGACAAACCTACAGTAGGATTCTATTTCTTTTCTTTTTCATCCTCATCTGAGGATATTTTTTCTATTGATTTTTAGAGA